CCCCGTCATGTATAAGAGCTTCAGTTTCTGTTCACCTGTTTCTACCATGCTTAAATTAATCAATAGTGTAGCCGGCACGTCACAAACTTTTATTCACAAAGTCGCCCACGGTGGCTGAAAAGAATTCACTTTCACTTCCACTGACACGTCATAACATGGAGACAAAAAATAATATTATGCATTTGTTTTCAAGACCATCATGGTACCAACTACTGTCATCGTCCTGTACTGTTCAACATATTATTCCTTCTTGTAAGATGCATTCATTTAAAGGAGGCAGCTCATCTGTGGGATTGGGTGGTGTTGTGGTCTAGGTACTGGACATTTGAGTGAGTGAGTGAGTGAGTGAGTGAGTGAGTGGGGGTGGGTGTGTGTGTGTGTGGGGGGGGGGGGGGGGGGGGGGGTTAGCAACAACAGCAACATTTTGTTGTACAATTCTGATACAGTGTAAAGCTGTTCACAATGTTGCTAACTGGCACTCAACAGGGTTAAGAGTTCATACCAACTCACTGGTGGAGACTATTCAATGTTTTACAGGTGGAGACAATGTGGCACTGTTAGTAAACCTGCCAAGGCTTTAGCTCAGTTATTCCACAGTTCATATTGAAACTAACAGAGTTATTCTGGTTGCATGTGCAGCTGAATTGCATTCTTTAAAGATATTGCAGATTATTAGGTGGCATTACCCAATGCCTCAACAAAGTCAGGTCTGTCTTCACACGGGGTTGCAGAGACAAATCCTTATAGAAAACAGCAAATACACAAAGGACTGGTTATTGTTTACAAGCTATTGTCACATTGTTTACAAAACTGCCTTTAGAGTATGAACAAACACTAACACTGCCAGGCAAGTTTCAGTCTCTGTGTGTACCTCACGGATATTCCTTACTCCCTGGCAGGACTTGGTGCAGTTCAGAGCTTTAATACCCAGAGGAGATGGCAATGTTGAGATATGGTGTGGCTAATGATATGCATATTGACATAAACATGGTGATGTTGACATATCAATTGTGGGTAAATGTATATCTTTGACAAGTGACAGATTGAATTTCTAAAAATTTTCATGTTTTGTTTGCACATTGGGTTTATGCTCACTATAACCAGAGCAATGCGGAGCAGAGTAGAGCAATGACCAATAGATATATCCAGCAGTATGGGTCAGTACTGTGTAATTGTACCTTGGTTATGTATTGACCAACAGATTGACCACCCTCGCCACTGGTTCAACACTCCAGGTGTTGTGGATGCTGGTGTCAGTGTAGTGAAACAACTGTCATGTGGTAGAATATCCCTATTTTAAAGTTAAGAACTTAATATGCTATAAGTCTCTGTATCACTTGAATGTAATCACTATGATATGTTATATAAGGTTTACTAAGCAAAGGGGTAGAATAGGTACTCAGCAACCCATGCTTGTCGAAAGAGGCGACTAACAGGATCGGGTGGTCAGGCTGTGTAGATTGATGCTCATGGAGTCAATCACTGGATTGTCTGGTCCAGATTCAATTATTTACAGAACGCCCTCATATAGCTGGAATATTGCTAAGTGCAGCATTAAAACAACAAACAAACAAACATGCCGACCACCTGGTTACAGTTGGCCGACTACATGGGTTCAATGGACCTGATATACAAGTCGCCCTGGGACAATTAGATAGTCACAGAGAACCAGGCACGCCTTTCTGGGTACCTTTATATTTGGTTTTGTTAAAACCCTGCAACTTACTGTGTTGGAGGACAACAATACATTAGTGTTGCGTTTGGTATATGATTTCATGTGCACTCTTTATTTTGTCCAACAATTTATGTCCCTGAAAAAGTTAAGAGTTGAACTTGAAGCTGATGTGGTTGTCATCATAATGAAAATAGATGTAGTCATCCTCAGTGTCTTTGCTCATCATGCAAGGAACAGGTTCAATCCCTGAAATGAGCACAATGTGTGAAGCCTATTCCTGGTTTCCTCCGCCATGATATTAATGCAATATTGTCAAAGGTGACATTAAACCACGCTCACTCCAATAGCTTAAGGACATTTTAGCTGAGGATATTGTTCAGATGTATCTGTCACCTTCAGGATGGTGAGAATACAGTTATACTTATACAAATTAGACATTCATTTCTCCTTGTTAAGTAAAGAATAATAATACATCTTTCTTTCAAAACTGTCGTCATTGGGTTTAGAGTTCCTTAGACTAACATGTACGAGACACTCACAGGGTCTAGAACACTTGAATAGTATAATTTGAATTAGGTGTTCGGGAGTGCTGAGTAATCCTTGTTGGTTGAATAATAATAAACCAGAAAGTTGCCTGCAAATATTGTTGTGGTTGTTTAAGGATCCTACGGCAATCAATATTAATATCACCTGCTACTATTGAATCAATATCAAGGTCAACTGCATTACATGTTGACATATTCAAGTTAGACATACCAATCAACAGGTGTTCATTCCTACTTGTGATTTTCACCCAAAATGCCTTCAGTCCTATTATCAATAAGT